TTTTTTTTTTTTTTTTGTGATTGACAAGTTTATAGTTTAGTTGTATAAGTCCTAATCTTCCAAAAAAAAAAAAAGTATGCGTCTTGTCTTCCATATAAAATACTCCCTCCGTTTCCATTTATATATTTTACTTTCCTTTTTAATCTATCAATGAAAAGGCCACTTTTTATATTTAGTAACTTTAACTCCACTATATCATATGACAAGTTTTAAACCACTAAATTCAAAGGCGATTTTGGTATATTAGACATATTCTCATTTGAAGATTATAAGATTCAAAAATATTTTTTACTGTTTAAGTTTCAATCTAACTAAGACACATTAATTAAATTGGAGGGAGTAATAAAAAAAGGACTGAGAAGAAATATAATAGAAATTAAAGATGGTGCCTATGATGTTGTCATAAATGAAGCATGTGAAAGAAGAAATATACGAAAAAACAGTGAGAGTTTTCAGATTGTAGACTTCTCGTTAGATCCTAATTTGACAACTTCCCATCACATGAAACAACATGCCCCAATGTGCACTCTATTTATTACGTCTCAAGTTTTTTCCTATGTCCTCTAACATGATCATACATAATACATTATTAATTTGTTTCAATTCATGTATCGGAGTTTGATTTGATACGAAATTTTTTAAAAAAATTAAAAATTCAGTTTTATCCTATGTGCAAGAGTACCAAGTTGACTCACCTAATCTTTGCAGATGACTTGATGTTGTTTTACAAAGGCAATATTCAGTCCATTCATAGAATGATGGAAGTAGTTAATCACTTTAGTGAAGTTTCAGGATTGGTGGCTAACATGGAGAAATCAAACATTTTCCTAGCAGGAATGGATGAGGATACAAAGCAGACAATCCTAAGTAACACAGGATTTTCAGTGGGTACATTACCTATGAGGTATCTGGGGTTACCTTTAACATCAAAAAAGTGGATCAAAGTAGAATGCCATCAACTAGTTGAGAAGATTACAAAGAGAATTCAGTCAGGTTATTCAAAACGGCTATCCTACGCATGTAGACTGCAAGTTATTAATGCAGTGCTATTTGCAATATACTATTTTTTGAGGAGCTATCTTTATACTCCCTCAAAGTGTTATCAACGAAGTAGACGAAAAATGCAGGGAGTATCTATGGGGCAACACAGAAGGGCATAAAAAGATAGCACTGGTAACATGAGACTTGACCAAAGAAGTGTGAAGGGTTAAATATTAAGGGGTGTAAACTTTGGAATGTGGCATCTGTTGGAAAACTATTATGGCAACTACTGACCAATAAGGAAGTATTATGGGTAAGATGGGTGCATGGTGTGTATATGAGGTCGTGTAGGAACATTTGGGATCTCAATCCACCTGCGGATTGCAGCTGGTATTGGAAGAAGATTAATGGATTAAAACATAGCATGACTCAATGGTACAATGGAAACACATGCATTTTGATTAGTAATGGAGCTTATTCTATTTCTAGCAGTTACAATGCAATGTTAGGGCATATGTCAAGAAGTTGGGAAATGAATTTGATATGGAGTAGAGTGATGCTACCCAGGAACAGATTTGTGTTATGGTTAGCAAATCAACAAAAATTGCAAACGAATGGGAGACTGCTACAAATGCACATTCCTATCACAAGAGATGCTTAGTGTTGCATGTGTAACTTGGGAGTATTAGAGACTCAATAACATCTGTTTTGGGACTGCTGCTGGGTAAAAAATATGAGAGATGCATTGGCAAGTTGGGTTGACATCAAATTACCAGACATGGCAATACCTGAGATATTACAATGGATTAGAAGGAGGCATTGGAAGCAATTCAGGAAGGAAGTAGCAATAGCAATAATAGGAGCAATAGTATATCATACCTGGCAAGCTAGGAATTGGAGAATTTGTAGACAAATCAACCTGAACATGGAATTCTGTGTCGGCCAAATAAAGAAGAAGCTCGCAGAAAGATTGAGCATATATGTAGAGTCCAGAAGAGCTAGACAATATCCATTGTTGATACACCGATTGTGTAGTTAGTTTATAGGTCAATTGATTTTTCTTTTCTTTCGTAGTGGATGAAGTTCTATATTTAGAAGGATTTTTTTTAGATTTGGTTGTATTGGGACAAGCTAGTACACTTGATGCTTTTAGGATGTAAAGTATTTGGGTTGTTATGGTAATATTCACAGTTATTACCAAAAAATAATTCAAGCTTCAAGATCCTTTAATGGTAAATCTAACATCACAATTTACACATCAAAAAACAACATCCAATAAATTTCAATAGGAACATATTTCAAAATACACATGAGAGAGAGAGAGATTAAAAGAAGGAAGAGATTTAGGGGTATGAACGGAGAAGATGGCGAGAGAGATTAGAAAAGAAAATGGATCTTCTGTGATTTAAGGAGTATAATTTTGGTGAATTGGGTATCTTTTGTAACTAGTTTAAAAGTAGGTAAATAAGGGTAATTATTAAAAAGAAAAATTACTTATTATGGCCGCTCCCAAAAATAATGGGCGACAAAATAAATATTTTTTATATATTTGTAGCAGATATAATTATTTTTAATCAACCGGTAGAATATGTCACTTCCCCTAATTATAATAACCCATACATAAATTCCTCAAAAGTCTAATAGTAAATTACATTCAATGAACTTAAAAATGGATGGTCTTAATTTTTTGGCCCCCACTTACCTCACCGTAAATATGTAATATCTTCTTATATTTAAAATCTTACTCATGGAATAAGCGGGATCAAAAAATTAAAAGTGGCACCAAAGTATCCTATTTGTGCAAATCACCCAAAGACTAATGAGTTTAATTTTAAGGCCCAAATTGAATGCTTATAATGGGTTCGCTAAACCACAAAAAATAAACTCTTAACATAATTTCAATAATATCGACTTGGCGCCAACGTCGAGCTCATTCGATGCTTCAATGGAGGCGTTCACACTTAAACCAAACTTCCTGGGAAATATTCTGGTGCGACTCGTCTCTTTCGTGGTTCTCGTTTTCCTCGCTCGTTTTGCTTACGTCTTCACTGTCAAAGGCGGCAAATCATGTAACTCCAGCGACTTCTGCTTCTTGCCGGAAAGCTTAAACCCTAACTCCATCTCCATCTACGGCGAGTTACCGGATTCTGGCACCGGCGTCAGGAACTACTACTACTCCGTGTTCCAAGATCTCATCGCTGACGGCTTCCTTTCTCCTAATTCCAAGTCTCTGTGCATCGAAACCATAACCGGCCAAGACGTCGCGGCGTTGATCGACGTCGGAGTCGTCGATTCGATCGGAATTTTCAACAAATCGTCCTCGCCGTTGATTCGTCACGGTTACGCTATTCGCCAGCGGTTCGATGAGAACACTTTCGATTTTGAGTACGCTGCCGACGGAGTTCTCGAAAAATCGACGAAGCCAGTTGAGTTTGCTAAAGAAGTTTCTAGAACTCTAAAACCTGGTGGTTTTTTCGTTATTCACACAATAACGAAAGATAATTACAGTCTCGATTCGTTGATTCAATTGTTCGATTCTTTCAAATTGATAAGGTTACGTGAAATTGACGGTTTTGACACGTGGCAGCCTTTGATTCGCGAAGTTATTTTCGAAAAAGTAAAGGTGACAGGATTGGAACCTATGGCCCGATGTAACAAAAATAGGTGTATTGATTTCGAGAAAATGAGTAATGACTGTGTTGTTTCAGGGTATAAAAGAGAATTAATTCGAAAATTGGAGCCTTTAATTGAGGAAGAGCCAATAAAACCATGGATAACATTGAAGAGGAACTTTAGGAATCTGAAGTATTTGTCTTCAATGGTTGATATAAGCTTTAAAAATAGGTACATTTATGTTGATGTTGGAGCAAGGAGTTATAGTTCAAGCATTGGTAGTTGGTTCAACAAACAGTATCCGAAACAGAACAAGAAATTCGAGGTATACGCGATTGAAGCTGATAGGGAATTTCACGACGAGTATAGTAAAAAGGGAGTTAATCTTTTGCCATATGCAGCTTGGTTGAGGAACGAGACGTTGTTTTTCGAGATAAGTAGAGAGCCGAGTAGGAAGAAGAACGTGGAGAAGGGTCGAGGGATGGGGAGAGTACAATCAGCACAATCGTCGTTGAATTTCGTGGGGGATTTGGATACGATTAAGGGGTTTGATTTTGCATTATGGTTGATGAGTTTGGCTGAAGAAAGGGATTATTTGGTTGTGAAAATGGATGTTGAAGGGACTGAGTTTCACTTGATACCAAGGTTGATTGAGACTGGTGCAATATGTTTGATTGATGAGTTGTTTCTTGAATGTCATTATAGTAGATGGCAAAAGTGTTGTCCTGGTAAAAGGAGTCCTAAATATGAGAAGACATATGCACATTGTTTGGAGCTTTTTTCTTCTCTTAGAGAGAGAGGTGTTCTAGTTCATCAATGGTGGTGAGTAGCCTGTAAATGGTTTCATTTCATTAGGGGCAAATATTCTTTGATTCTTTGTATACTTCTGTTTTGACATGTTTGTTCATTAGTTGAGGGGTGCAAAGAAGTAAAATTGGATAATAGACAAGTTAAATGAAATCATGTTGAACCCACTCCAGTTAAGATGGACAAAGTATAATCAAATTCAAAGTTGGTTTATTTTCCTCTCCAGCTTTGAGTTGCAACCATTTATTGGTTACTGAAGAAACAACAGAAAATAAGCAAAACTATTCTTAACAACTTTTAGAAGAGGAGTCTTGGAGCAACGGTAAAGTTGTCTTTGTGTGACCTATAGGTCACGGGTTTGAGTCGTGGAAACAACCACTATGCATTTGGTTACATCAATACCATTTGGGGTGCTGCCCTTCCCCGGACCTTGTATGAATATTTTTTACCGAGCATTCATAGATGCATAGATGCTACAATGGCAAATTACTGAAAGAGACTATATCAACTGTATAATCAGCATAATATGCAATTTAATTACCAAATAACCTGTAGCATAAAACTGCAAAAAGGAATTTATTTTTTGCCAAAATCATTACTGTGTCATAGACGGTACTAGAATGAAACGTAGAATTGAAGATGTCAATATCAATTACATAGAGTGTTATATTTGTGGTAGTGAAGGAAAATATGAAGTAGCAGTTGAAAAGTTAGGTTGATAGAGTCGCATAAAAAGTTTAATATTATTAATTTAATTTGTTTCCATGGAAAAGTGAGAATCTTATACTCCCTTCTAATTTACGTGAACCTGTTTGACTGTACACGAATATTAAGAAAAAATGAAGATTTTTGGAATTTGTGGTCCTAAACAAGTCAAAAAAGGGTCCAGAATATTTGTGTGGTTATGAAAGCTTCTCATTAAGGGTAGAATTGTAAGTTTAAGCTAAATTGTTACCAAATTTAGAAAGGGTTCATTTTTTTGGAACGGACTAAAAAGGAAATAAGATCACATAAACTGGAACAAAGGGAGTAGTATTACAACAACAATAACAAGATCATCACAAACAGGGTCTGGAGAGGGTAATGTATACGCAGACTTTATCCCAACATTGAGGAGGTAGAGATACTGTCTTCACTAGACCCTAGCTAGAAAAAATGAAAAACAAAGAAGCAATAGCAATAAGCACCAACACCAGCAAGATAACAACATAATCACCACCAAAGGATGTGGTGCAGTGGATGGTACTGCTCTTCCCTTAACTAGAGGTCTCGAGTTCGAGCCCTGGGTATGAAAAAATCCTTGTAGGGAGCGCTTTCCCCCGAATGGGGCCCTACGCGGCGCGAATCCGAATATAGTCAGGCTCCAATGCGAATATCGATACCGGGCGAGAAACCAAAAAAAAACAACATAATCGAAGCGAAAAAACTAACATAAAGTGATAACAATATGAAAATAAAAAACAACAACAAGAAAATGTCATATTATTTGGAAAGTAGTACGTATTAATTGTCATTTACCTCCACTTTTCATGCTCCTCCATTCATCTTTCCCATTCTCTAAGACGGGGTGGGGGTTCCCACCCTTCTGTGCTAAGCCATTGCCTCTACCCCTAATTCTCTCTCTTTTTGTATCTTTAACAAAATGAAACAAATAATTTTCTCTTTACAATAATGATGATCATTATGCAAAACTAAAGATCAAGAAATCACAATATATATATATATATATAGGGCTGAAATTAAAGCCCCTTAATTGGGTTTCAAACATGAGCAATGCCCTGGCTTTAAGAGCCAATTTAGTTTGTACTTCATTCAATCAGATCAATTCCAAAGGTTTATTTGTTGGTGATGATCCTCTTGATTACTCTGTTCCTGCTCTCTTATTACAGCTTTCTCTCATTTCTGTTTTCACTCGCATTATCCAATCACTTCTCAAACCTCTTGGCCAACCCCTCATTGTTTCTCAGATTCTCGTAAGTATATATATATCCCTTTCTTTCTTTATTTCTCTGTTTTATTTAATGGTTCTCCTATAATTTGCCCTAGTAGTGCACCCGAGGTTGTGGTCAATCAAGTGGGGCAAACCTTGGAGACCACAGATTAAAAAAACACAATGTAGTTTCTTCCTGTATAGCTTTGGTGGGTAAAGTTACCATATATATGTTGGTGGGAGACAGCAGGTTTCTAATAGAATAGTGAGGTGCGCAAGTTGGTTCGGGCACCATTGTCATAGAAAAGATGTCCTAATAGTACGATGGAAGTCATTTTCTCTGGCGTTTGATCGTGGATCAAAAACATTTTTCGTGAAAAATGTGTTAGTGATTAATAATACTATTATCATATGGAATAGTGTTTTGATAAAAACTTTTAGTATTAAAGATTAATGATAATGTCTATTCTTTAGTTAACGCGAATATAATGTTAAAGAAAGTTGTAAGTAGAGCCGGATGCACACTATAGGCTGAGGGGTCACTAGCTCCCAGAAACTTCGGTAAAAACTCCATGTATACTGGCAAAATGTCTTCAATAGTTAGATATTAGCATAGGCCCTCGTATCAATCTTTATGAGCAGTTATATTGAATGTCATGGTGCCCTAAGATTAGAAAACTTGCAATATAAATGCTTAGGGCCTAAGGGGGTGGAAACCTTGAATTTGCTATAATACGACCCTACTACATGTATTAATCATGTACTTAACACAGCTATAAATTATTGATGGCTATCCGTAATATAAGAAATACTAAATATATAGCTTTCTGAAGTAAATTATTGGTCAATTTTGTTTACTAACTTGTTGTTGAACAGGGTGGTGTGATACTCGGTCCTTCGATCATTGGAAAAAATGGAGAAGTTTCTTCAAAAGTTTTTCCTAGTAAAGGAAGATCAGTACTGGATACAGTATCAGTCTTTGGTTTCATGCTTTTCATTTTTCAGATTGGAGTTAAGATAGATCTCAGTATTGTTCTAAAATCTAGCAGAAAAGCTTTAGCTGTAGGAATTTTGGGCTTCTTTGTTCCTTTTGGACTTGCCAGTTTCACGGCGTTTCTTCTTGAAAAGTTTCTATCTTTGGATAAAGAACTCATCACTCTGCTTTCAAGGGTAGTTATTCTTCAATCTATGACAGCTTACCCTGGCATTGCTTGTTTTCTTGACGAGTTGAAGATTCTTAACTCGGAGATAGGACGGTTAGCTTCTTCGTCTTCGATTATATGTGATATTTGCCATTGGACTATTTTAAGTCTAAAGTATGCTCTAGAGTTAGCTAAGGCAAAATCAGTGAGAGTAACTTTGGGTTCATTGGTGTCTGGTGCTCTTTATATCCTTGTTATCGCGTTCGGATTCCGTCCTGCAATTTTATGGGCAATCAGACAAACACCAGAGGGTAAACCTGTGAAACATATTTATGTTTTTGTGGTACTTGTTCTACTATTATGGTGTGGTTTCACTGGTGAAGCGATCGGCCTTAGTTCTATTGTTGCCTGTTTTCTTTTTGGATTGGTGATACCAGATGGACCGCCATTAGGTTCTGCATTAGTTGAAAGACTTGATTGCTTTGTATCTGTGCTGCTTATGCCACCCTTTTTCACCATTTGTGGATTGCAAATGAACGTCTTTTCAATTGTAAGGTTGAGAAATGTAGGTGTGCTACAGTTGGTTGTCTTAGTTGCTTTTATTGGAAAGATCATGGGAACTATATTGCCTCTTCTTTTCTGGAGAGTGCCACTACGCGACGCCTTCTCTCTTGCTTTGATCATGAACTCCAAAGGCATTATGGAACTCGCTTTCTTGAATGACTTTAAAAAGAACAAAGTAAGCCCCTATGCTCTTTTTTGAAATAGTAATATTGATAAACATGAAGGGGAGCCTTGACGTAACTGATAAAGTTGTTGTCATGTGACCAGGAGGTCACGGGTTCGAGTCGTGGAAACAGCCTCTTGCAGAAATGCAGGGTAAGGGTAAGGCTGCAGTACAATTGATCCTTGTGGTCCGGCTCTTCCCCAGACCCCGGGCATAGCGGGAACTTAGTGTACTGGTCTGCCCTTTTTAATATTGATAAACACTTTGCTCCTTCTATGTAAGGTTAAAATGGATCTTGCACACACAATAGATTGTAGAATTATCTTTTATCGTACATATGAAATTGGCCTACTCATTAATGTATTTCTAATGCAGGACATGTCTGAAGAAAACTATACGATCATGCTAATTTCAGTGGTTGTTATAACAGGAGTTATATCGCCTCTTGTGAAAGTTCTCTATGACCCTTCAAGACGGTACATAGCCTACAAAAGGAGGACTATAATGCATAGCAGAGAAAACGATGAACTTCGTATACTTGCTTGCATACACAGCCAAGAAAATGTTCGCGCAGTCATCAGTTTACTTCAAGTCTCTAACCCTACAAAAGAAAGTCGCGTAAATTTGGTTGTCCTTCATCTTACTAAGCTTGCAGGCCGCGCCTCCTCAGTCCTTGTAGCACATCAGAAACGTGACAAGCCATCTCTGAATCCAACACAATCCGAAAGAATCTTCAATTCTTTCGAAAAATTTGGACAACAGAACAATGACCTTATCATGGTACAGTGTTACAAAGGGATATCACCTTATGCAACAATGCACAATGATGTTTGTTCTCTTGCTTTAGAAAAGAGAACAACTCTTATCATTGTCCCTTTTCACAAGCATTGGATCTTTGAGAAAAGAATTGAAACATCTTATGCATATAGACATCTAAACAAGAATGTACTTGAGAAAGCTCCTTGTTCAGTTGGGATACTTATCAATCGAGGAAGCACGAAAAAATCCCGGTATGCAATCACAGTTCCTTCATTGTATAGAGTGGTGGTCCTCTTCTTTGGGGGTGCAGATGATCGCGAAGCTTTATCATATGCAGAACGAATGTCCGGACATCCTAGTGTACAAATGACACTAATACGATTCACACGATCAAGTTCCTCCGAAAACATTGTTGGTGGCACGGAACGAAGTAAGGTTCTTGATACTCAAATCTTGAGTGAATTCAATCACAGATTTCTTCGTTCCGAACAAGTTTCCTATCAAGAAGCAGAGGTGAATAGGGGCGCTGACGTGTTAGAAGTTATTAAATCATTGGGAAATTTTTATGATCTGGTTATGGTTGGTAGAAGACATATAGACTCACCAATTTTGTTACAATTAACAAAGAGGAACAATGAGGATGGTGAATTAGGGT